TGGGGGGAAAGCCTTCGGCCGTGTATACGGTCTTGGACAACAGAGTTCTTCTCAGTCAATCCACTATCCTTAATCCGATAGTACGGATCAGTCTGTGAGATTGGAAGTGCAAACTTTCCATCAGGAGAATCAGGAGTTTCAGGAGAAGGTGGGGAGTATGGAGCTTGCCCTTCATCATCTGTATAAGATGGTTGAAGGGATGAGGAGTACACCACCTAATCAGCCATGCCTTCTGGCGCCTGTTCATGATTCTGACTCTTCTTCATCTTAGTCGAGCGATAGCGGCTGTCAAGAGTGATTTTTCTTTTTTTAAGATTTTGTTTCATATACATGTTTAGTGTCACACTATTTTATATTTGTAATTAGATATTTTTGAATATTATTTATGCACATGTTATTTCAATTTTATGTAAATTTCTTAAAAAATTATCATAAAATATATATTTCAAAAATATTTAAAATCAATAATAAAAATTAAATAATAATAATTTAATAATTAATACTAATAAAACAATTTAATAATTTAATAATAATAAAAACAATTTAATATTTAACAATTAAGAATAATAAAATAACTTAAATTAAGAATAATAATTTTATTCTGGAAATTTCTGACGCACATTTGCATCGGAAATTTCCAACGAATTACTTTGCGTCGGAAATTTCCGTCGTGCCCCACCTTAGAAATTTTCGACGCAATTTATGACCTAATATTTGTCAGAAATTTCTGACGCAAAAGTTTTTGCGTCGGTAAATTTTTTCCAACGGCCATTTTTCCGACGAATGCTTTTGCGTCGGTTTTTGGGTCAGTAATGCCATTACCGACGCAAATTTCGGTCTTACCGACCCTTTTTTTGCGTTAATAATTTGTGTATTTCTTGTAGTGAATATATATTCTATGTTTTAGTCATGCATTCATGAGCATTCATGACATTCTCTTAACATTATGCATATTCTCCTCATAGAAGATAGGAAAGCAAACTAGAGCAGTACTTTAACCAAACTAGACTAGCAAGACCCCAGTAGATAGTGCTTCCTTTGAGTGGCATTTTTTCTAATTTTAGATTTTCTAAAAAAATGTATTTTATAGCAAACGTGAATAATTTCTAAACATGTATATTTTAATATTAGAAATGGAAACAGAATAGCCTTTATTATGCTTTCCAATACATACTTTTGTACTTAATTTTGATATGCCGAGCAGCCATATGGGCAGTAGTACTTCTACATGACTTTGGGTATAGTGGGGTTCTAGATGCCATAGGCTATTTTAGCTTGGTTATGGAGTGGTAAATCATGATACGAGCTACATAGCACAATAGTGCCCGGAGACTTTTGCCCTAATAAGGGCTAATATATATTTTTTTATTGTTTTAATGCTCTCTAAATTGTCTGTGGTATACACTAAGACAAAGTTATATGCTGTATAATTAATCTTTATGATTCCTAGTTATTTATGTTTTTTGTTTTATCATGGATTTAATGTTGCAGTACACTAGAAATTAACTTATTTTTGTATATTATTATTTCTACAATTTTAATGCTTGAAGTGTTTAACATACAACGTTCAGTTATAACTATGATTGTGAATTCTATACGTTTTCATTAAGCCTAGATTATATGTTTTTCACTAGGACAGTAGTTTCACCACTTTCTTTTATCATACAGGTACTATGCAGTTGTAAATAGTGTGCATTAGCATCAGCACCACCTGCATCAGACATCTAGAGCATACTAGTTGAAGGTTGTGCCAGTAGTCAAAGTCATGTCTTTTAAGTTATTGAGACTAGAGTTTGTATAACGAGTCTTTTAGGGAGATGCTTTTGGCAAGAAATGATGTTTTACAAATAGTGAATATTTATGTTTATTTTGATTTTATTTTATGCAAGTGATTTGTGTCTACGTTCAATTCATGTGTTCATTGTGTTTTATATAGAGATACACAGTTATTCAGAGTTATGCTTGTTGAACTAGATGTGATAAGAGTTTTAGTGTTTGATATTCCTCCATGTGATCTAGGCATAGAAGAGTATTAGACACTACTCCACTATCACGTCTTACTCAATTAGTCAAGGGTGAAATGTGACACTTTTTTAATGACTCTTTTTCATCTAACATAACATAATCATAGATTCCAATAACAATAGGCTAGATTGGAGGTGGTTATAGTTTGGTTTGATCTAGTTTGATACTTAAATTCAAATTAAATTATATTTTACACTTTGTGATTTTTAAAAATTAAATCAAATTACGATTCAATGTTTGTTTAACATCAAATCACAACTTATGATTTACAAAAATAAAATAGATTAAATTGTTTACTTTTATAAAAATTTCAACAAAGTTTTTCTCAAGACCAGGCATTCAAAAATATTCTGACTTATATAATTTAATAAATTTATTATTTATTAATTAATTTCAATAATTATATATTTAGAATAAATATATTTATACAAATTATTAGAATTTAAATTATATTAAAATTTATTTTTTAAAAAAGAAAAATAATCAATTATCAGAATAAGTATAAATATAAAAAATAACAAATAGATTATGTAGTCATAAGATAAAAATAAATTATATATATAAATAAAATTTTAAATATATATACATCACACAATTTGTTTAGTTTATATAGCAAATAGCAAACAAAACTCACACTTCCCAAATCAATCTAAATCAAATCAAATTAAATTTTTTTAATTTAGATGATTTAATACAGTTTGTTAAATGCTCTAATTACAGCTGGCTAGATTTATGCTAGTGTCTACGCAGAAGTTTGCCCGACCCTAGCTGTAATTCTAGACTTTGAATTCTTGTTATTCTGCTATTTTCTGTTTTGGTAGTGTGCTTTGTTTTTGGTTCCCAGTATAGGGCGCCAAGAGCTCCAAGAGAGTAAGGAGAAAGCTTGAACCTCTAATTGCCGTATGATGTCAACGAATTCGGTGTCCAAAGCCTCGTGACACTGGGACAAAATTTTTTGTGGATCTGGGTATGATTTATGATTTTTAACCAATTTTATTTTATTCTATTTTATGTTTCGTATTGTGGGTTCCCTGCCATAGGGGTGAACATGGTTTGATTTTTTCGGTTTTTTTATAAAATTTGTACCGTACCAATTTTTTCCATTTTTTTTGTGTAAAAACCAAAACCGCACATTTTGATACCATTACCAATTCTTTTGGTTCATTCAGTTTCAGTACGGTTTGATATGGTTTTTTTATTCTTTTGTCATTTTAAATTTTAAAAGATATCAACATGTAATTATATCTAAAGAAATATGAATTTCTACTACTAATAGATAACAATAAGCTGCTTGTATAAATAAAGATAAAAAAATAACATGTAGTATTTTAATTCATCATAATTTTCCTAAAAAAATAAAGAAAAAAAGTAATATTAACAGTTGGAAATTGAGAGATATTAAGAAATGGAAAACTCACAAATCTACTACAATACAGATTCATTAAAAATATGTAGCAAATCTACATTTCGTTGTATAACTTACTAAATTAACATATAATCATTACAACACGAGTAAGCTCTCTCAAAGTTTCAACCATTCTTCTCATTGTTTCTTTAGTAAAAAGTAGATCTATAAGCTTTTTACCATAATACATTATAACAAACAATCACATTCAACTAATTAAAGTAACTTGCATTGACCATAACCCAAAAGCCAGCTAATCAACTATAGTTAATAAAAAAAATTCAATATATGAGAGAAGATTAAAGCATAAAAATAAGAACACTTACCATCAAATAATGTTGATTTAATTAATATCAAGTCCATTGATTGAATTACTTTTGAGCAACTCTAAAAATAAAAAGCAATAATTTTGTCATTTTAAATATAAAAGAAAAACAAAGTACTAAAATAAGTGGTGATAAGAAAATTTGTACTACCTGATTCAATCTTTTCAAACTTCTCTATATCTTCCATTGCTTCACCAATATCAATAGATGTTGGATTGCTCCTCAACCAATTTTGTGCACAAATTAGTGCTTCCACTGTTTTTTGAGTTAGAGAACTCTTAAATGAATCAATCACACGGCCACTAGTGCTAAAAACTTGCTTACTAGCAACGGTGGACACTGGAATGGCTAGCACATCTTTTGCAATCATTAAGATGATTGGATACTTAGAAGCATTAAGTTTCCACCAAGTCAATATATCAAATTCTTTCTCATTTTTCTCAATACCTCCTTTTAAATACTTATTCAATTTTGACAAATTATCAAAACTTTTCAAAGATTCTACACGCTTTGAAAATTGAGAATCCAAATACTCCAAGTCTGCAATTGCATCAAAATTAACCATGTCCATATTTAGAGAAACTTGATTACATGCCTCACTGTCACTTTTATCTCATTTTGAAAAGTAGAGATGTACATATTCATCATATAAATCTTTTAATGTTAGCTTCCACATTAGCTGTATTTGATATTATGTATTTTATATATTTACACATTGGTCATTCTATTTGTGTCTCTACTTTATATAAATACTTAACATTTTAATTTTTTTAATTTACTATTAAACTATTACTAATATTTATAAATTTAATTATTTTATATATAATATAAAAAATTTAATCAATTATTATATATAATATTCAGTTCAATTTTATTTTTTATTAATTTTTAATATATAAAATTAAAATTATACTAAAATATTTAATATAATATTATATAATACCAAAATTTACAATTTTTTTCTAAAAAATCAAATTTTCAGTACCGTACAATGCGATCCAGTTGGGTTTTAAAAGGGATAACACCCCTGCCCTGCCATCACGCCATCACGAGCTCCACTGAGGGCGGCGCCTCTTGATAATTTATTGGCGATGATCTAAAAACCGCAAAATCATATATTCTCCTTGAGCTGTAAGCTTGAGCTGTAGTCAGTGGTCACTGGCTTACAGCTCACTGTTCAAGAATTCTACAAAAACCCTAAACCACCCATTTTGTTGTCACAAATTTCGAGTTACTGGCAGAGAATGAGCAAATGGAGATTGATTGCACACTTGCAATTCTCCTCTCCCAGATATTCACCACCAGTACCTTACTATTCTCACCCTTTCAAGCTCTCCCGCCAAATTTTCCTCTTCAGCTTCAATAGACTCCTCACTTCTTCTTCCCCTGACAACCTCGAGGGTCTTGTGGATCCGGATCTTAATCTCCCCGGATATGAGTTCTCTTTGCCGGAAAAGTCACAGGTTGAATCCGCTTTGGCAGAGGAATTTGCTCCCCTCCGCAATTCGTTGCTGGACTCTGCTGCTGAAAGTAGCTCTTCAAATGGCAAATTTGGATCTGGTAAGTACTTAAACGACGCTTTATTGATTTCCAATGCGATTATGAAGAATAATGATAATTTTGGGGATGAAACCCAAAAATTTCTTAGGCAGTTTAGGCGGAAACTCGATGAGTCTTTGGTAGTTGATGTGTTGAAACTTGTACAGAATGCTGAACTAGGTATGAAGTTTTTTATGTGGGCTGGTCGACAAGTAGGTTATAGGCACACTATTCCTGTTTATGATACGTTGTTAAATATAATAGCCTGTGCTTATAATGACCAAGTGCCGGAACATTTTCTTCGAGAAATTAAGGATGATGACAGGGAGGTACTAGGGAAATTGCTTAATGTATTGATTCGGAAATGCTGCCGAAATGGGTTGTGGAATGTAGCCCTGGAAGAGCTAGGGAGGCTCAAGGATCTTGGATACAAGGCCTCACAAACTACTTATAATGCTTTAATCCTTGTGTTTCTGAAAGCAGGTAAATTGGATACAGCATTTTTGGTTTATAGGGAGATGACAGATTCATCATTTCGCATGGACAGTCAGACTTTGGGTTTCTTTGTGTATTCTCTTTGCAGAGTGGGTAGGTGGAGAGAAGCACTAGATTTGATTGAAAAGGAAGAGTTCATCCCTGATACAGTAACTTACACAAGGATGATATCTGGATTGTGTGAAGCTTCACTTTTTGAAGTAGCTATGGATATGCTAAATAGGATGAGGGCTAATGCCTGCGTTCCTAATGTTTTAACATACAGGATTCTGCTTTGTGGTTGTCTGAATAAAAGACAGCTGGGTAGGTGTAAGAGAATTCTTAGTATGATGATGATTGAAGGTTGTTACCCGAGTCCCAGAATATTCAATTCTCTTGTTCATGCATATTGCAGAGCAGGAGATTATTCATATGCCTTTAAATTGCTTAAAAAAATGGCAAATTGTGGTTGCAAACCAGGTTATGTGGTTTACAATATTTTAATTGGTGGTATTTGTGGCAATGAGGACTTGCCAAGGAAGGATATTCTTGAACTAGCCGAAAAAGCTTATGATGAAATGCTTGATGCAGGGATTATACTAAATAAAATCAATACCAGCAATTTTGCAAGTTGCCTTTGTAGGGCTGGTAAATACGAGAAGGCATTCAATATTATTCGTCAAATGATGAATAAGGGATTTGTACCAGACTGTAATACATACTCTAAAGTTATTGGTTTTTTGTGTAATGCTTCAAAAGTTGAAAAAGCTGTTTTGTTATTTGAAGAAATGAAATGGAATGGCATTGTTCCAGATGTCTATACATACACAATTTTGATTGATAGTTTTTGTAAAGCTGGCCTTATTCAGCAGGCACACAGCTGGTTTGATGAAATGAGACAAAATGGTTGTACTCCTAATGTTGTGACTTATACTTCTCTAATACATGCTTATCTTAAAGCAAGGAAGGTATCTGTTGCAAATGAGATATTTGAGATGATGTTATCGGAAGGTTGCTCTCCAAATATTGTCACATACACTTCACTGATAGATGGTCACTGTAAAGGTGGAGATATTGAAAAAGCTTGCCAGATTTATGCAAGAATGAGGGGTGATAGGGAAATCTCAGATGTAGATATGTATTTTAGGATCGATGGCAGCCCTCAAGAACCAAATGTTGTTACATATGGAGCTTTGGTAGATGGTTTGTGCAAAGCACACAAGGTTGAAGAGGCTCGTGACTTATTGGCTGCAATGTCAACAGAAGGTTGTGAGCCAAATCACATAGTATATGATGCTCTTATTGATGGATTTTGCAAGGTTGGGAAGCTAGACCTAGCACAAGAGGTTTTTGCAAAGATGTCAGAACGTGGCTACAATCCAAATATTTATACCTACAGCTCTTTAATTGATAGATTGTTCAAGGACAAGCGGCTGGACCTTGTTATTACAGTTTTATCTAAAATGCTAGAGAATTCTTGCCCTCCCAATGTTATAATCTACACAGAGATGATTGACGGACTTTGTAAAAATGGAAAGGTTGATGAAGCCCATAAGCTTATGCTAATGATGGAAGAAAAAGGTTGTCACCCTAATGTTGTGACATATACTGCTATGATAGATGGCTTTGGAAAAGCAGGTAAAGTTGAAAAGTGCCTTGAACTCTTCAGACAGATGAGTGGCAGGGGTTGTGCCCCAAATTATGTCACTTACAGTGTTTTGATAAAGCATTGCTGCACTGCCAACCTTTTGGATGAGGCTTGCCAACTCCTGGAGGAGATGAAGCAGACATATTGGCCTATTAATATTGCAGGATATCGTAAAGTTATTGAAGGGTTCAGCAAAGACTTCATCAACAATCTTGGCCTTCTAGATGAGATAAGTGCACACGATTCTCTGCCAGTCAGTCCAGTTTACAGAATTCTGATTGGCAGCTTTTGCAAAGCTGGAAGGCTGGAAATTGCTCTTGAGCTGCATAAAGAAATTTCTTCATCTGCACTGTTTTCATCTGCTGATAGTAATATGTGTACTTCGTTGATTGAGAGCCTCTCTCTTTCTGGCAAGGTTGATAAGGCCTTTGAATTATATGGAGACATGATAAGGAGGGGTGGGAAACATGATTTAAGTATCTTCTCTCTGCTCATTAAAGGACTTATTAAGGTGGACAGGTGGGAGGAAGCACTTCAACTTTCGGATAGCCTATGCAACATGGTGCGTTGACTTTGACCTTTACCTCTGTTTTGCTTTTAAGAATGCTTGCTCAACTTCACAAGTACTCATGTGTATTAAATTAAAGGTAATGGTTAACCACACCCCACCAAAGAAAAAAAAAATTATTGTTCTAAATGTATATGATTTTTGCCTGAAACAGTTTAAAGACATTTAAACAAAAACTGAACTTTATTGCTTGTCTGAGAGATTCTTATCTGTATATGTTGAAAAAAAATTTATGTTAGGCATTTCACCATTGGGGTTGTAACAGTTGTTTACATCTTAGAAGCTATAAACTTCAAACAAATACTCTGCTACTAGCTCATTCATGCCCCTAAATGTTAATTGTATTAGTATCGTTTGTTTATGCTGTATTAGCTTTAACTTTGGCTTTATTACCTCTTTCAGCACCAAAGTGTCTACATATTTAAGTGTTTCCTAGTTTTATTATATTATACAATTGAAATTGATATTTATTGGCATCCTCATTTGCCCTAGTAATTTAAATGGTGGCTGAAGAATGACCAAGGCTCAACTCTGTGCATGCTCAAATTTGGGTTGATAAACATGCTCCATAGAAAATCACAACATTGAGGCCTGTTTTGTCCTGTTCTCTTTGCTGAAAACTCTATAGACGGCTTATAGTTTTTATTTTTGACTGAAAATAGTTTTTGAGAATTCTATAGTTGTGTTCTGAAATTGTTCTGGAAACTGATACAGAGAAAAATTAGCCAAACTGGGTTTCAGTGTTTTTCTTTGTTTTGTCCCTCCCCCCCCCCCCGGGGGAAAAAATAAAAAAAAGACTATTCTTCGAAAGAACAGCAAACAACTCCAAGTAAACTGTTTTTATTGCTTTTTTATTATTTCTTTCATGAAGAAATGGAGCTATAAAACATATGTAACAATGGCATTTAATGAATGACCAAGATCTTTGGTTGTTTACTTTAGATCTCCATCTTAAACCAATACAAAATCAGTGCAGCATGATTTAGATGTTTTCCCTCTGAAAACAAGTCAGTTGAAATGTATGACATTGATGTGACTGACTTAAATCTTCTATTTTAAATCACTACTAGTAGGTTTACTAACTTTCCTTGTTTCTTCCTAAATGGGTAAATGACTTTACCAAGGTAGATTGTCATGTAAATTACAAAATGAAACTCCTTGTACACTTAAACACAAAGGTGCAAGACTTTTATAGAACTTCTGAAGATGAAACTTCCAACAGAGTGGGTAAAGCTTCTTATGTAGGATAGAACATGAATCGCATTGGTGCTTTAAGATTTAAGGAATAAAATTATGTCAATTTGCTGATAGGCTGAGTTAGAATTGACTTTTCCATGTATATCGGATGTACTATCTGCATCCTTTTAGAACCTTGCTGTTTATAAAGATGTATCCTTCAAAAGCTTCTTTGAGTGCTGTAGTCTCACTGTCAGATGCTATAAAGGAATTCAATAGAAGATTATAATTTTCTCTCTACAGTTGCTTGTTTAAAAGTTTGATCTTACTTTTCTGTACCATGCAAGTGAAATCTTGATGTCTACTTAGGACACAGTTAAGGGAGAGGCTATGTTTATGTTGGACGGGCAAGACAAAGACATTTAGATTCTTTAAAAAAATATTGCATATAAAGCAATTTCTTAGCATTTGTAAGTTCAAGATTATTGAGATGCAATGTGCTCCTCAACTATTTAACTTTTCCAAAAGAAATATTCATAAAAAAGACGCAACTATTTAACTTTTCCAAAAGAAATATTCATAAAAAAAACGCAATGGAATGCATTGTGATATCGAAGATATACAATACAAAGATCATTATTCTAATCAATTTTCATTATTAATGTAATGGATACGAGTATGAATAAAGACAATACATAGGAATTCCCTTATTTAGGTTTAACATGTTTGGTTGTTTGTGATATGTCATACATCCGTTTGTGCTTTTTAGCTTGGTAATGACATTAACTCTACGAAGAAACTGAAAGAGCAACTAGAGAGGCTAAACTTAAAAGCTTAGAATGTTTTCTTACTCAAAGTTAACAGGAAAATATGGAAAAAAGAGGAATATGTATAAATTTGTTAAATTAAGGAAATAGGAAACCTATGGATGTTAAACATATTAAATGTATTAGGAATGAAAATTCACTAGTTTTGGTCTGGGGTGAGGAAATTAAACAAATCAAGAAAACCTATTTTGAGAAGTTGTTAGATTGGGATAAGAACAAAAATTTAGTTTTAGAATAAAGTGAGATGGAAATGTTATTAAGATTTTCTTAGGAAACCAAATTGGTCTTGGGAAAAATATGAAATGAAAATTCCAGTTTGTACTATCCCTTAGATTATTGACAATGTACATAGGCAAGTTGATGGTTCCATCAAAACCATGACTATTTGATGTCTCAGCAATATGAATTAAGTGGAAAGCATTTCCCAAATATAACATCACTTATAACATTTTAGGAAGCGTGGACACAATTGTATGGGATGTCTAACATCAGTAATGACTCTAACCTTTTCAAGACAGAACCTGAAACCAGAACCAATATGACATGGTTACTAAAATGACAACCATAACCACATCCATAGTGAATGTAGAGAATGAAAACCACATTCAGAAAATGGAATACTGGAAAGTCAGGCTTGTCTTATTAAAACATTTATGTCATTGGAACTTAAACATCTTAAAACAAAGTTTAATATTAGAATTATAAACTCAATCATCAAACAAATATCCTAAAATGAAAATAAAAATTAAAAAGTTTTCCATCTCTCTCATCATACGGCCATTCGACAAAATTATTAAAAGAAAAATATCATTCACCAAAAAGAAAAAATCTAATTTAACCATCAAACAGATTCAAGCCAAACACCATTTACCAACTTTAATAACAATCCATCAAGTTTAATCAATATCCACCAAAAAAATACAAAACAATTTCAAATAATATGTAACATGGAAGAAATGATGCTTCTTCATTTGTCTATATTAATGAACAAAAAATTGTGTCTAAATAAACAAATGATATTAATCATTTGTGTGTTTAGATCATAAAAGATTAGGATTTGTGTGGAGTTTGATATTTACTTATAATCATGTAGTTTGTGTAAACTAATATTTTTACAGATAGAGTAGGTATTTAAGATATAGTATGATTCTAAATGGATATGGTTTCAGTTTGGATATGGATGTTAATGAGAATAAGGTTTGTATGAATTTTCTTAATTTTATTTAGTCCTGAATTGATGCATATGTACAACCTTTTAATATACATAAAAGGAAATAAATCAAATTCGTGACCAAAACCTCTAATGATTTACATAATCTCTAAATATGGAAGTGGAATATATACACAATCTTAACATTACCTCTCAAGTTGGATCATATAGATCATATGCACCAATCTTGCCGCAGATATAATGACTTCTTAGACCTCATGGAGCTTTTGTAAAAATATCAACCAATTGATTTCTTGAGTTGACAAACTCCATAATGATTTCCTTAGATAGAGTTTTTTCTTAGACAAAATGACAATCGATTTCTATGTGCTTAGTTTTCTCATAAAAACAGTGTTTGAGGCTATGTGTAAGGCAGCTTGATTATCACAATATAACCTCACATGCTTAACACTCCCAAACTTTAACTCTTGGAGCAATTGTTTCACCCATATCAATTCACAAGAGGCTACTGCCATAGATTGATACTTAGCTTTTGCACTAGATTATCTACAACATGTTGCTTATTACTTTTCCAAGACATAAGATCACCACCAATAAAATACACAATATCATGAGATGGATTGCCTATCAACAGGAGAACCAGCTCAGTTTGCATCAAAGTAGCCCACACTTTGAGCATCTCCTTTGTCTTCATACAACAATCCTTGTCCTGAAGATTTCTTAATATACCTTAAGATTTGAACAATCGCATTCCAATGATCATTTTGTAGGGATTGCATAAATTGACTTGTTATACTACCTGAAAAAGAAATATCAAGTCTAGTAATAGTGAGATAGTTTAGTTTACCAACCAATCTCCAATATCCACTAGGATCTAAATAAGTCTTTTCTTGATCTGGTAATAATTTGACATTTAAATCTATAGGACTGTCAATAGGTTTATAGTCTAGCACACTCGTTTTCTCCAATATATTTAAGGCATACTTTCTTTGTGAAATAGCAATACTATTCTTAGACTTAGCTATTTCACTACCAAGAAAGTATTTGACTTTTCCCATATCTTTAGTCTGAAAGGGATGAAACAAATGTTCCTTCAACTAAGATATTTTGTTAAGATCATTATCAATAATCACTATATCATTCACATAAACAACCAAATAAACAAACTATAGCCAGATGAACATTGATGGAAGACTGAATGATTAGATTTACTTTGCATCATACAAAAGTCTGGACAATAGCACCAAACTTCCCAAACCAAACTTATGGAGATTATTTTAGTTCATAGATGGATTGTCTTAATTTGCACACTAAACTTGACCCCTCTAAGCAACAAACCCAGGTTGTTGTTCCATGTATACTTCTTCTTCAAAATCACCATAAAGAAAAACATTTTTAATGTCTAACTGATGTAATGGCCTATGACCAATAGCTACCATGACAAGAAATACCGAATAGTAGCAATTTTAGTTACCAAAGAAAAAAATATGATTGTAATCAATACCATAAATCTGAATATATTCCTTAGCGACAAGACATGCTTTAAGATGATCAAGTTTTTCATTTGGGGCAACCTTGATAGTATACACCCATCGACAGCCAACAACAATTTTTTCTAAAGGAAGAGGAACCAAGTTACATATACCACTGTGCTCAGGGGTAGATATCTCATCAATCACAGCTTGTCTCCATCTTGGATGAGAAAGTGCTTCACTATTATTTTTAGGATTAGAAACAGAAGACAAAGAAGACACAAAAGCATAATATGTGGGAGATAAAGGATGACAACTCAAGAAATTGTGAATTGGATGAGGATTTCTAGTAGATCG